TGGGGTCAGGGCACCCGTCCTCACCCCCCAGGCACGAGCAGCCGAAGCCACGTGGCAAGCAAAAGGACGGTTCCGGAGGGAAGGAGGAGCTGGGACCCTCCAGCAGAAATGTGAGACGCACCAAGGCTTGGGAAAGAGGAAAGGCTGGGTATCACAGAAACAAGAGCTTCAGGGTGGGCTCCGAGCACTCCCGGGAGACACCGGGGTCTCTTTGGCACTGCAGGAGGGCCCACTAGCAGCCCACAGCCCACGGGTGGCGTGCAGGGGGGAGGATGCTGCCCTAGCCCAGAGGCTGCCAGCCAGGAGGGACAGCAGGGACCCCACCGACCCCCCGCATCCAGGGGAGGGGGCAGCTGTCGTGAGAGCTGCGGCATCCCTGATCCCGGCCACAGCTGTTCCCACCAGCTCTGGATCCCACCCCAGCAGGAGCTGGGGCTCGTCGCTTTGCAGGGTGCTGGGGCAGAGACAGGGAACCGTCCCGGCGCTGTCCTGCTTCATGCTGAAGGGCACAACACCGGTCCTCCCCGGGAGGGCGAACAGGGCCTGGGCACCTCCCCAGGGCGGCAGGCGGGGAAGGCGGGTGCCACAGGCCGAGCCGGAGCCCCTCAACAGCTCCGTTTCGGAGGCAGGTCCCAGCTCCGGGCAGACATCTGGAACCCGTGGTGTCACTTCCCTTCGAAGAGCAGCTCCTGCTGCCACCTCCAAGCCAGTCCACAGCTCCCCACGGCCAGTCCCGTCCCATCAGCTTCCACAGGCTCTGCAGCGATCCTCCGGCACGGACAACACAGATGTGAACACGGACACATGTATGTACTCACACACGCATTCACCCCACAAGCCAGAGCGGCGTTGGCTGGACACACGGCTGGACACAAAGTGCCACCGCAGAGCCGCCGGCCCGGTCGTTTTGTCTCTTCGGCAACTGATGGCAACGAAACGGAGCCTGGGACTATCCTGCCCACTGGGGACGGGAGAAGAATCCGGCTGATGCCACATCCCGCTGCCCAGGCGGTTCCCAGTCTGCAACCCCCACGTGATCCCCAGCCGTCAAGGCTATACCTGCATGACAGAGAGGGGATGTGGCGCCCATCGGGACCGGCTGCCAGCACCCCAGGGTGGTGTCCCCCATACACCTCGTTCCTCTGAGCCACAGCCCTCACCCTTACCTTGTGGATTTGGGGTGGAAGCTCGTCCTCCGAGCTCTCCTCCGGCACCGGCTCTGGGAAAAAAAAACTCAGCCCAGCCTCCCAGGGGGAGGCGGGAGAAGTGCGACGGGGCTCTGTGTACTGTGCCTGGGTCTGCAGGAGAAGCATGGAGGAAGATAAGCTACCTGGGGGGCTTCAGGGACAGGCAGCTGCCAGGCTACAGGGCACCGGACCTGGGGCTTTCACCCGGAGCTCGGATCTCCTGTACCTGTAATGCCACCGTATCGCCGCTGGAAGCCCGTCTGTAGCGTGGCCGTCTCCTCGGCAGGCTGCCGCGGGGAGGAGAAGGGGTAGCTGGCAGAGCGAGGGATGGGGGCACCCCGCTGCGCATCCAGCTCCTCGTGGGTGCTCTCCCCGCTCTCGTCGCTCTCTCGCCGGTGCCAAGTGTGCCGCTCGGGCTCCAGCTGGGCGTGCTGCTTGTGCAACTGCAGGCCAAACCGCAAAGGAGTCCGCTATGGGGCA